GAGAGAGAGAGAGAGAGAGAGAGAGAGAGAGAGAGAGAGAGAGAGAGAGAGAGAGAGAGGGAGGTCGGGCTGGGCGTAAGTGTATGTTTAAAGTGCTGGTATGGTCACTAATGAGAGTGTGTGTGTGTGTGTGTGTGTGAGAGAGAGAGAGAGAGAGAGAGAGAGAGAGAGAGAGAGAGAGGTGGAGGTGGTGGTGGAGGAGGAGGAGGAGGGAATGGATAGCTAGACCACTAAATCGATACCTGGACCGTTGATCGGGCAAGTATTTGGAGGCGAGAGAGAGAGAGAGAGAGAGGTGGAGGAGGAGGAAAGGGAGGAGGAAAATAGACGACTTGACCATTGAGCGGGAGGGAATCGATGCCTGAATCGGTGATCGGCCGAGTAGTTGAACCTCTTCGCGGGATACGAGACAACGTCGAACGCAAACACAGACGAAGGGCAAGGACGATAAATGGGAGAGACGGCGCGGGGTAGATAAGCGTGCGATAGGAAGAGACACCAGAGAGGAAGAGAGAAGGTAGGGAGAGGAGGAGGAGGAGGAGGAGGAGAAGGAGGAGAAGGTGGACATCCCGGACGTGGTCCCGACGTGCAAACCGTTGATCTGCAATCAGAAGGTCGAGGAATGTGGACATAATGGAGGACATACCTCCTTCTCTTAAACCTCTTCATCAATGTAGAGTGCCCTTCGCATGAGCATTCAGATACAGAAGGTGGGGAAACAAAAAAAAAAAAAAAAAAAAAAAACAGATACAGAAGGTGGAGAAGAGGGAGGTGGGGAACGAGAGGAGGAGAAGTAGGAGGTCGAGGAAGGGTGGAGGAGAGGTGGGAGGTGGAGGAAGGGACGAGGAGAACTGGGAGGTGGTGGGAGGCAGGAGGAGGAAGAGGAGGAGAACGAAGGAAGGGAGGAGAAGTGGGAGGTGGAGAAAGAGAGGACGAAAGGGTAGAGAGGAGGAGAAGCGAAGGGCTGCAGGACGGACACGAAGCGGAAGTGGTCAGCGATGTCGTTAACGAAGAGGAAGACAAAAAAAAAAAAGGGAAACGCTGTACAGCGGCTATGGCGTTGCCGATCGCCGAAGATTCGGAGAACAATCATCTCTTTCTTTTTTTTTGTCTTTTTATTTGTCTTTTTTTTTTTTAAGTCATCGCATCATCACCAGGTGCGTTCATTACATGGCGGGAGAAAGAGAAATGGCGGGAGAATAGAAATGGCGGGAGAATAGAAATGGCGGGAGAATAGAAATGGCGGGAGACAGAGAAATGGCGGGAGAAAGAGAAACAGAAGAATGAAGAGAGAACAGGAGAGAGCGGAGGAGGGCTCTTATACACATCTAGATGTGTATAAGAGACAGGGGGAGAGAGGGGGGGTCAAGGGGAAGAGGAGGGAAGAAAGCGAAGGAGGTGGGAGTAAGGAGAAAGAGAGGGAGGAGGAACAACAGGGGCAAGGAAGATGAAGGAAGTCGTGATTGGCCCAGGTTGGCGTGCAACCCGTCAATCTAGCCAATAATAGTTGACGGGGACGAATAATAGCCTCTTCAGGTCTATCCACGTGGACATATAATGGAGAAGAAAAGGGGGGAGGAAGAAGGGGGGGGGGGGAGGACGCGCGAGGGAAACAGAAGGACCGAGGCGATGTGGAGGCGGAAGACAAGGAGGAGGTAGACGTGAGAGAAGGGAAGGAGGGAGCCGACACGTGTATCTGCCGCGCCACGTGGACATACGGATAGGCGAGAACGAGGAGGGAGGACGGGGGGAAGATAGAAGATAAGTGGAGGAGGAAGGGGAGGAGGAGGAGGAGATAAATGGGGATAAGATGGAAGGAGGAGGAAGATGACACGTGTACCTGCCGCGCAAAATGCTGATCTGGACAATAATTAAACCTCTTCACGAGATCCATGTCCTTCATATAGATATACGAATTTCCCGCCAAAGTCAATCTCTGTTGGGGAACGAGTGCTACCGTGGAGTCACCAACTGCTGCCAGCTCAGCATCCTGCTCCCCTTCTTCAAAATGCTCTCCCTTCCCATAAATGACAAGCCGTCTTCGCCTCCCTCCTCCTCCTCCTCCTCCTATTCGTCCTCCTCCCCCTCCTCCCCCTCCTCCCCTACCGCCCGTACGATACTTGTACGGCATCCTGGAACGGTTGTTGCTGATACTGATAGGATTCCAATTAAGATCTCTCCGCCACGTGGCTACGCGAGCTGCTCCTGACGATGCCAAACCTGCCACGTCAGATGACTTTGGATAACGACCACGTTCATCTTCCCACTGGTCCTTAACCGCACCCCGTGCAACGGTTGAGTCAGAACTATACCGTTTTCCTTCTACCAATCGATCCTCCTCCTCCTCCTCCTCCTCCTCCTCCTCCTCCTGCTGCTCCTCCCTTTCTTTCCCCACCAGCTCTACCTCCTCCTCCTCCTCCTCCTCTTCTTCTTCTTTCTCAACCAGATCTCCCTCCTCCTCCTCCTCCTCCTCCTCCTCACCAGAATCTTCCTTCTGTCCAGTTGCTTGTACTATCCGCAAACCATTCTGTTTTTGGTCATATTTTGCCCCATCATTCACTTCTTCATCCTGATTCACTGTTTTTGCAAATCCATGCTGTAAGAGTTCCGATATTCGATCTGTTAAATCCTCAACCTTATCCTCAACCTTATCCTGTTCACCGATCATTGCAAAATCATGCTTCATGCCATCTTTCAGACTCTCCTTCTGCTCGTCGTCGTCGTCCTCCACCTCCTCCTCCTCCTCCCTTTTCTCCTCCTTCTCCCCCTCCCCCTCCTCCTCCCCCTCCACGTCGTCGTCGTCTTCCTCCTCCACCTCCTCCTCCTCCTCCCTTTTCTCCTCCTCCTCCTCCTCCTCCTCCTCCTCCTCCTGCGAATCACCGCCGCGGCGCTGAAGAAGACTCCTTGATGACGTGGACGACAACCCAATCTGGGAGGAGTACGTTGACGTCACCAAGTAATCATCATGACCGGTACTCCTCCACCTCCCCCTCCTCCCCCTCCTCCCATTTTCACGTTTGCTACTCCCATTATTATTATTTCTATTACTGCTATTATTATAACCTCTATCACTATTATTATTCCTATTTATTATTACACAATTACTATTTATTAATTTTAATTTCCTGCTATTCATATGTATACTTGCATTCCCACTGCCATTCTCTACAGCAGCAGCAGCAGCAGCCGCCACAAGCCGACCACCATTAGATAGCCAAGTGCTATCGCTTATCCCACTGCTATTCGCTCCTAACGGATTGCTATTACCCATCAGCCCAGTGCTATTTGTACACGTGGCACTACTCCTACACGTGGCAGCAGCAGCAGCAGCGGAAGCGCCAGTATGGAAACTGCATCCGGTCATCAAATGGACGGTCAGGATCGCGATCAGAGTCGGGACTGGCCGACTTGCTGAGGAGGTTAAGGTTAAGGTCCCCCCCCCTGCGTTGACGTCAAGCGGATTTTTGTTGACGTTCTTAAAAAGAACAATCCGAGACGTAAACGGCAAAAGAGCAGACGGACAAAAGAAGAGTGCCATCGAGCTCCTGCGCGCCGAGCCGCCCTAAAGCCTACGCGATTCACCGGTGCTATGTCTGTAATCAGCCAGTAATCACCCAGCTTGCATCGGGTCGTCACGTATGGATAGGTTCAGCCAGTGATCGATCACCCACCTTGCATCAGGTCGTCAGATATGGATCGGTTCGTGCTAGCGCACAAGTGGAGACGAACGGAACACACACACCACGCATCTGGTCCGAAAAGAACGGATAGGTTCATGCCAGCTTATAGCAGAAACATGGCAAGAGGAAAGGAACGGCGAGTGAAGGCAGCATACTCACACTACCTAGGACTTTTCCCTTGTTCCGGGCCGCAATTGCGGTCAGATACATCCACATAGGCCCCTATTTACGGTCAGATACATTTAATCTGGTGCTACTACTGGTAGAATAGTGTGAGTGTGCTTTGAGTGACGCCGTTGCTCCACAGGGCGGCTAACGGTCGCTAATAGTCAAAGCACCCGGTTAAAAAAAAAAAAAAAAAACAAGAAAAAAAAAAACACCGTCTTTACCCGAATAGAACGCCCACCTTAATACCTGTACTTGGCGCAACTTTCCGTCTAGATACAGCTATAATTACCGGACTTTGTATTCGGGTGAAGACGGTAACGTCGGCATTTCCACCGCAACAGGCCGCCGTCGAGCGTTCAAATCCCTCTGAAATCTTTTTCTGGGCGTCAGCTGCGCTGCCCGGCGAAAAAAGAGATCACCACCATCTTCGACTTCTATCCTCCTCCTTTTTTATCCTCTTTCGGATAAGAGGATGGTAATGGATGACGTTGGAAGAAAAAATTAGACGTACTCGTCTTCTCAATGGCAACTTCATATCCAATAGCCAATAGAAAAAAGCGTTTGCTATATATCTCCTTCTTTGTCTTCTCCTTCGTCTTCATCTTCGTCTTCATCTTCGTCTTCATCTTCGTCTTCATCTTCGTCTTCCTTGTCGTCAGCGTCATCGTCTTCGTTGTCCCTCCGCCTACCCCTTCTCCTCCTTCCCTCCTCTCCTCTCCTCTCCTCCCCTCCCCTCCCCTCCCCTCCCC